GAACGGGTGATCAAGTTGCTGCGCCTTATAGGAGAGTTTGAGGTCCGCCTGGTAGCTGACAGCTACAGTAAACGCCCAATGGCCGAGATTGAATCGAATCTAGGCCGATCTATTGGTCACAGTTGTATTTCGTATTTTAATTTTGATTTTTTTTTTTTTAAATCCAATTCAATTGATATTTTGAGCATCTACTCTTGAAAAATAGGTGAACATAGTAAAATTGTTAAAAGAACATTTGTAAAAAATAAATTGACCAAATTGCCCCAGAAAATTACTAGGGTATTTTGGTCAATTCATTTTTTTGAATAATTTTTAAATACTTTTTTTAGGTGTGCTCGATGAGAAGAATAGACGCTCCAAATTTCTGGTGATTTATATAAAAAAATATTAAAATTATACTACGAAATGAGATCCTAACCATCAAATCAGCCCAGATTCAATCTAGGCCGTTGGGATTACACTGCAGTTGTCATCTAGGGGGTTGTTCCTAAATTTTCACACACACACGCACGCATGCAGGCACACACACACACACACAAACAAAAAAAAAAAAACAGAAAGATGATTTTCTTAGTCTTTGTGAAATGCCTGCTTCAGCCTCAAGTGATAACTACAAATCCCAAAGTCGAAGTAGCCACTCCCATCAATTCCCTCATTCTCGGATGCCGCAGATTTGCTAGAAGCCCCCCCATAGTAGTCTAACTTGTGAAATACATAGGGAACTCTCTAGAAGTGTAGAGAATTGTTGAGAAGTCATGCAGAGTTCATAACCATGGGATCGCTTGCAAGTCGCACGATCCATACGTGTTTGTTACCATGGTTTGGAGGCAATTTGTTAGATTGTTTGTTTGCAAAAGTCAAGAACTAATAGCTTGTGGTTCAAGTGTAGATGCCCATATTAGATAAACAATTATATGCAAATTGACAAAGAAAAGGTAAAGGAAAAAAAAGAACATACATTCCCCTCTATTCATTTGCAAAATGCACACATCACTCAGTGGTCTCTCTTGCCATTTGTCCTCTCCCTCCCTCTGCCCCCCCAACCCCTCCCCTAAAAACAAAAAAATAAAAAAAGGAGAGAACCTAGAGCACATAGCACTCTTCTTTCCTTCTTTTCCTTCTACACCTCAACCCCCGCCCTTCCCCCACACACACACACACAACACGAAAACAAAAAAACAAAAAAACCAAAAAAAAGTGGGGGGCTTTCTCTGCCCTTTATCCATTATTCTCTCGCAGCCTACAGAATGAGTATCTCTTCTCTCATTACTTGTCACACCAGCTTTCATAGGTGCTAAGAATAACCCTAATTCTCACCTTGTATGTCACCTCTCAAACCCTTCAAATTCAGTTTCTTTCCCAAATAACACAGAAGTTTCGAACCAATTTTTTCTTTAGTTATTTCCATTGAGGTGTTAATGGATCCAGATTTAATGATTTGGGTCTGTGGATTCAGGCTTTCTATGGTTCAAAGGATTTGTGGATTTCTTTTGTATGGGAAGAGATAGAGAGGCAGAAAGGGATTGGATATATGTTCCACAATAAAAGAAAAGGTAATACAAGGGAGGTACATATTCAAAAGCCTAGGCATAGCCTAGAGGAGCTCTAGCCATCAATAAAGGTCATCTTACCGCAGAAAGGGTGATGGCTCATCAAGGACCAGCCCTCCAAATTGAAGAAATCAGGGCAGAAAATGGTGGTAAAACTCTAGATTCTGGTTCAATGAAGCTCTAGAGAGAAAAAAATAGGTTTCTTTGACTTCAAGAAACAAGATGAGCCTCTCTTCTTTTAGAGTTTTGTTTATTTTTGTATATTTTTAGCATTTTGTATAAATTGAAACATTTGGTTTGGTTTTTTGTGGGAAATTGAATAAAATTAGACTACGAAATTAAAAGGTGGCAATGTAGAACAATCAAGATGTATACATCCAAAAATGTAGAACAATCAGGATGTATACATCCAAAAATCTCTCTTTACTAATAACACCAGCAAGCCCACTTATATGAGCCACTTACAAAGCAAAAACACAAAATAAAAGCCTTACAGCAATCTAAGGATCCCCTCTTATTGCCATAAACATAAAATTGTATTCATAAAAGAAAGAAGAACTACAAAATAAACTTGAATCAAGAAGAAAGGGAAGCCTTATTACTGGAAACAAAATGCCTGAAGATCACCTCCAAGGGACTCGCTACAGATCATCAAGCTCAATTGCCCACTAATCTCGATCCGCACCGAATCCCCTTAAAATGGGAAGCTCTCATGTAAAGCTACGACTAGATGGGGCAAGAGAGCATAACCAAGACAATTAGGCTTTGGACCAAGTGACCTAGTTTTTCTAGCTGGGGCATGCCACACTCCTTTACTTTTGGGTGGTATGCTCCACCCTCTTTGAGAGAGAGAGAAGAAGAGGGGAGAGAAAGAGAGAGGACAGGGCGTGAGAGAGAGAGAGAGAGAGACTTCTATAATATGATGTTCCTTGGAGGTGGGTATTACCCTCATTATAATGGTGTCAAGCTAGGGTTTGCCATCTTATTTGGGATTCAATTTGGACTGTTGATCTGAGGTAATTTATGGGGTGAAGAGGCTTCTGCTTGCAGCCCTCCATTTCCTAAATCAGCCATCAAGATTAAAGGGAAGGATCTAGAACTATAATCCCATAGTTTCCTTGGCCCATTCTCTTCTAATTTCAAAAATAGGAAAGTTTCTTCCATACAGATTTTCCTTTATTACGGAAATTATTTAGAAGGCCTTTCAAATCTCTACAAAACTTTCTAAAACTCTTAACACAAAAGAAATAATATCATGTAGTATTAATATGGGGAAAAGAAAGCAATAAGAAAAATAGGATGGGTGTGTGGCCTATGGAACCCCTATGGGCCCCAGGCCCCAAAAATCCTAGCATGCCCCATGATGGCCCCTGGCCATTGGGCTCCACATGGGTCCTAGATAGTTTTAGTTCCCCTAAACTATTTTTTAATTTCCTTGTAATTATTTTCAAAATACCTCCTTGTTTTTAATGCTCAAAAAACACTTATCTTGATTTATAAAATTCATAATGCAAAACAAAAATACATTATGCATTTTAAAAATTCCTTGTTAAGATCTCAAAATAATCTTAAATATAGATAAACATAATTTGAAGAGAATCGGATCCATCGGATCAAGAATATGCAAAGTACAAAGGCATTCACCTATGCTACTTATCATGGTCCCCCAAACTATCTTCTCAAACCAAACCAATGGAACCCATGAAGTGCGTCGCAGGGCTCATGTGTAGTCCATTAAAGTTGCCTAATAAATACCACAAATGCAAGTCTAATGTGTAGATTACAAGTTCCCCCAAAGGACAAGCCATGTCCCGCATTGACATGTGCACATAATCACAATAGTGCAGGGGGTCCTCTCTTCAACTAATGTACAAGCACTACTGTCACGGATTGCTTCCCATAGATTCCATTATCATATGCAGATGTTGTGCAGTGCTAATGTTGACCGTTGCTCCCACAAGCGGCCAGCTGCACAAAAGAGACCAATGACCTCCTAGCTAAAACTGCCCCAGACATTTCTCTAACATTAACAAGGGTTAACCCCGCAAAACCTCCGCTATTGTGCTTTATTCCCAGGGGTAAAGGGTTTTGGACTCCATTCCAAGCCTAGACCGTCCAACTCGGGTGAGTCAACAGGCATTCCGAAGCATGCCTCTCTAGTTCCATGTGGACATACTTCCACTGGAGTATAGTATCACTACAGTCATATATTTTACATGCTCTCAAGGCTTTTGAAGGCCACAAACCCCAACATCTCCCACTTGGCCTTTGAAGGCTTTACCATTACTCTCCCTCACAAGCTCTCACCCACATTAAAATCTCTCTCAAGCCCATCTCACATATTCTCTCGATCCCCTTAGAGACCTCCATGGAGACGTTTTCGCATGCTTTCACCTTTTAAAGATACAGTGGTTTCCAAACACACCTTCAAGTAGTGCATGGAGTCGAGAACCCAAATCAAACTGTTTCGAATGTGTGTATCGGTCCAGCTTTGTTTTGAAAGAAATCACTACAAGTGTTCCTATGGCTGTCCAATGAGGTCTAGTATTTGGAAGTCAGTACGGGGAGGTTAATTCACATTTCACGGGCATTTCAAGTCAAAAATTGTTAGAAGGTGTGTATGAAGGTCACTGTAACATGCTAAGGGCGTTTTAAAAGGTCAAAGTATGTCAAAAGGTCCCCATGGAAGTAACCAAGGGGCTATTTACAGTCTAGCCAAAGCATGTTAAGCCACATGAAGCGATTAGGGTTGTCCAGCTCATAACAACATGGTAAGCGTTGTGATGCATCCTACATCCGTCAGATACCGACTTACCCATTTTGTGATGGGTAGGTTTGACCAACTTTTGACGCTTCCAAGTAATTTCAAATTTGGACAGTCGTTCCTACTGGTGATTGATTTGAATTTTGGCCTTCTGAATCCTCTATTGCAGACATGGGGATCATGGAAATGGTCTTTGAGTGGTCTAGGGTCTATTTTAGTAATGACGTTTCTAAGGTTCATCGACTAGCCGAAAATGGGTGTCTATAGGCTGCTGCAAAGGAAATTTGTCTTTCATGTGTTACAAGAGAAGAACAGCTAGCAGATATTCTTACCAAGGATGTTAGGAAACTTAGACCACAATGAATTTAAGCAAGTTGGGCATGACAAATATCTATACACCAGCTTGAAGGGGAGTATTGAGAACATAGTCGTTGAAAACAATTCCGAATCCGAATCGTTTTAGGAATCAGAATCGCAGAATCACAGCCAGCTAGAAAATTCATATATTTGGAACCGACGTCCATACAAGAGGAACCATTGGAAACGAGATTCGTATTTTATACGAATCGAGATTCGACCAAAATGGAATCGAGATCCCTATTTAGAAGGAATCAAGATTCCTAGCTCTATGGAATCCAGTTTTCGACCAATTTGGAATCTACCATATGGAATCCAGATTCCATCCTTTATAGAATCAAGATTCCCACATTTTTAGAACTGACATCAAAGTGTGGATCCAATGCTACCAAAGCCTCTACATCATCCTTGAGGTGATCACCATCAGGATGACAGTCCCAATCCTTGTATTTAGCTTTGTATTTTGTCCCTAATCTACTCAATAGCTTGTCATGGTAATGAACATATACCCAGGACTCTGATAGTTCCACATTAAGCCGAATTTGTTTCACTCTATGTATGTAGTTGTAGGTGCTCTAACATCTCTCCGCACAAGAAGAATTGACACTTTGTGACAACACCTCCACAACAAGTGAACGAAATTCAGGAGTACCATCACTATACATGTCTCACCAAGCATGGAATCAAGATGCAATAAATGTTGGATCGATATTTGAAAAAGTTGGGACAAAGATTCCAAAATAATGGGATAGAGATTCGGTAAAGGTTTGAATTGTGGTTCCTAAATTAAACAATCGAGGTTCTTGAGTTCTAAGATACGCGTTCCGTGAAGATTCCTTGGAGGAATCACCAAATTGGGGTTCCGAACCAGAAGTGTGACCTTAGCCAAGAGATACGGGTAACTATGATTGAGAATAATTGAATTTATATTTATTACTTCTTGTATTTAAGCCCTTAAGGACTTATATGTCTCTTCCCTTACTTAAAGAGGCAGTTTTGTAATTTGAACTTTAATTATTAATATGAAGTGTATAAGTGTGTGGGGGTTTAATTGATACCATCGTGACCCAAATCTGCTCCTTTACTCCTCACTTGACTCTCTCTCTCATCTTTGTCTCTCCGTCCTCCTAAATCTTAAACTCACATTTATTAGATTTCCAACATATTAGCTTGTATTTTAAATGAACCAACCCTGGGTAAAAAAAAACAGAACCAAGTTTTGGTTTTCACTTTTTGGAATCTTGTAACTTCTCTTTTGAAATGACTTTTGGGTTCGACAATTTAAAAACAAATGAACAGGTGAGGTGGATCAATCCAAAACAAGGGCAGACTGATGGTCTAGTTCAAAACAAAGGAGTTCATGATATCTACTAGTCAAAATAAGAAATTATTACCAATTATGAAATCTAGAAGCATTTGGAGCAATCCATGATTCCTCACATATTACATATAAACACTCAAAGTATACAATATGTCATACAACCAATGCATGAAGCGTTTGCAGGATTGAACCATACCACTTAACATAGAAGAAAGTCTCTTCAAATCAGGTCCTTGTGTATGCTCAACCAACGGCACCTCCAAGCAACAAATGCCATGCTTACCCTGCCAAATATATTACAAAGTAAACACCACATTAAGTGTTATGCTGACCATTTACATAATAGCTTGCCAAATACCAAACTCAAACTACAAATCACAACACTAAGACTGCTATAAGGTAGTTCATTCAAAAGCAAGAGCAGGCAAGCAACCTAAAAACAAGAAAACAATGTCCTCAATCTAACCAAGTCACACATGGGCGTATAAAAGAAAATTAGCATTCTAGTATATGATCAGATTCATCACCATTATCATCCGAGCATTATCCCAACTATTTGGGGCCGGCTACACATTCTACTGTATGAAGGGCTATACCTTCAATAAGGCCTCCAGTATGATCAGATTATAGAACTCAAAAAGGACATCTCAGATAGACAAAGAAAAAGTATGTTTCATTGTTGCAAATGTCAAAACAATACAAGTTCGCTCCAACTTGCCAGAAGAATTGGTTTACTGATTCCATCTCATAGTAGAAGCCATGGCAATATCTCTAATTCTCAGCTCTTTGAGAATAGAAAACATCATTACCCTAGAAGACAATAATGTACATAAAACTTAGAATCATAATCCAAATCATTAAAATTTACTTCAATTGAATGAGCAAATTAGGCCAAATAATTAATATGACCCTCATTTGATTGACCAAACTAAACCACAAAAGACACAACTAATGCCATCATAGAGATGATCAATCCTTCAACACAAATTTGGGACTCAGTTGCATGACGTGCCATTGTAGCACAATAGGATTCATCAAATTACCCAAAAGAGATGAGCAATTTAACACTTTACCCTTTTTTCAATTTAATTTAAAAAATAACCATAAAATACAAATGGTCTTGAGTTGGAATAGTTGCAACTGGCCAAAATGATAAATACCTTATCTCTTGTGGGTATTTTGATAAATTTTCCTAAGAGTTTGCACTTGCTACATGCAGATTCTAAACCCCATCATTGTTTCATTTTAAAGATGCCAGTCCAAGTACCAAGCTGAAGGCAACTTGTTGCTTTGATTCCATGCACAAGGTATGTAGATTGTATGACACGCCCTTACCCAAGAGTTGGATAGCAATAAGTCTAAACCATATTGATATGCTAGGAGATGACTGAGTAGATCATGATGCCACCTGCTCAAATCAATTATGCCTTCGATCCTCTATAGGCCAGTATAGCATCTCTTCAAGGTATGGACTATGGAATGCAAACAACACAGTCATCATTGAGTTATTTAAGCCCATAGGAGGTACGATGAAATTTCTAGATAATGTAGCTTATCGCTAAAATTGAAGGGGCAGAAAAATTGAATGAATTTTGGCCCATTAGCCTCCTTAACACCACCTATAAGATCCTCACTAAGGTTCTTGCCGCTAGACGGAAGGTTGTCCTTGACAAAGTCATCTTTAGCTCACAATCAACTTTTGCAGCTGACAGACAAATATTGGACAATGCCCTAATTGCCCAGGAAGCCATACATTCGAGATACCAATCTGGTGAACAAGGTTACAGATTTAATTGGATTGGGAGAAAGTCTATGACTACATCGATTAGGAAATTTTCGATGAAGTTTAGGCTAGGATGGGCTTCAACGTCAGGTGGAGAAATTGGATCAGAGGAAGCATTTCTAACATATCCTTCTCCATCATTATAAACAGGACAACTGAAAGGTGTTTCTCAACTTCCAAAGGCTTAAGAAAAGGCAACCCCCCCTCAGCTTTCCTATTTGTGATCGTAGGTGAACTTTTCTCTAGATCAATTTCTAGAGTCTTGACTGTATGACTAAGGCATCCTCCGTGGATTCGAAATGTCCTGTAGAGGCCCAAACATTTCCCAGGAGACTCTACAGGACATTTCGAATAGGTGGGAATAGGTGGGAGACACTTCGACTATATTCTCCCCATTGCAAGACGACCCAGTTCACGTTCAACGACATTCCAAGGAACGCAAACACCATTGCTGACAACAAGGTTTCAAAAAACGCTAAGCAGCCCCTAGGCGGCTAGCTTGGCCCCCAGCGCTCAGCGCCTAGAACTTCGGGTGCCCTGTAGTACAATTTTTTTATATATGTACATATATATATATTGTCCAAACGCACATATATGCATATATTTGTAATCAATTTTTGCAATTTATTGCATTTGAAAATATTGTAACATATTTTTTTATTTACAAACATATAACATATCTTATCTTGAGAATAAAC